GGATTATACAGATTATCATAGATTTCACCTCCTCACACTTTAACAGGAGTTTGGATATTTTCTCTTCAGGTAAAAACACCTTAAAATCAGAATCGATAATGTACCCCAAATGTGTAATGACTTGACAGGGGATGACTACTGACTTCTCTCGATGTATCTGGAAGCCCACTAACTCTAAAACTGACATGAGTTTCTCTGTGTCGTCCCAACACTTTTCTCTCTCTGCCGCCTTTGTCAGAGAATCATCGATATAATAAAATGTAACGACTCCCTGGCTACGGAGATGATTTCTATGATGTTCAGCTATCGGTACATTAAAATATGCATCTTTCAGATCAACCGAAGTGAAAAAGTCTAGTGCAAATTCAATTTCATAACCCTGCACTGAACTTAACACCCACTGATCTGATGTTAAACAACTCCATTCATCTATGAAATCTTTTAATTTACCAGACGGTTTACTTATCGTTTCCGTTACTGTCCTGCCTTGGACTGGCCCTGGTTGGACCGGCTCATGTGCTGGGACGACCTTCTGGTGCGCCTTTACCCGGTAGTCCTGCAGGTAGGGCGTAAGAATTGTACCTGCTGCCCCCAATTGCATGATCGTAAGAGGCGACTAAATTTGGGACCTTAACTCTTCTCTCCTTTCTAAATAACTTTCTTTTTCCTAATGTCTCCCTTGACAATGCCTCACTTTTGGCCATTTGTTGAGCGTTCGCCCCTGTGAGGAAGGCTTTGGGTTCTGTCCCCTGGCCGAGACATACCAAAGTCTTTAAAAATGGCAGTTTCTACTCCTGCTTAACGCTCAGCAAATAAGGAGTTGGACGACTGGTTCGCCCGTTGTCAGTATAATGTGACCGGGTGGGGCATCCTGCTGGGTGGCTTCGGCAGTGTGTTTCAGTGAGGTAGCACTATAAAGTCGGCATCAGTTCCGCGCTATTACAAGAAGACAAACACTAATATATCGCAGCCTCCCAAAATACACACACATACACTACACGCATGCATCTTGCACACAGGGGAGGCCGTCCTTAAATGACCTAAGCTGTTAATAGGACGTTAAACAAAATCAAACAAACAAACCTTTACCCGGTCGATCGACCGACCCCTGGGTCCTCCTCGGCCTCGCCATGGGCCCTGTCCCCAGGTGTTCTGTCCGTACTGACCCTGCCAACCTGACTGTTTTTTTTACCTGTACTTTTGTGCATACTGGGTGTACTGCTGATAGTGCCCCCTTCTACCAGTGGTGCACTTATTCATCTCGTCCAACTCCTTAATTCTCTTCGCCACATTGTCCCCGAATAATTCGGATGTAATTGGAGTATCGTTATTGCCCATGCAGCCAGGTGCTTCTGAGGCAGATTAGACCTCATCATTTGTCTCCGCCGAATGGATATCTCATAAAACACGTTACACAGTACACTGACAGAGTCTGAAAGGAGGCCTCTAGCGGCCCCCAAATCAAGCGTACTGCTTGTTCTCATGTTCTCGACTAACTGTATAATGGGGACCATTCCATGGCCCACTAACCTTTGGACCTCCTGCATGGCCACATCTCTCGTTCTCGTCTGGCTACCCAGAAAATTCCATACATCCACGTTTGTTCTGTGTGGTATAAACGCCTCTGCGTTCTTCGGGATTTTGTACTTATCTGTAAGTGCCGACACGTCGGCCCTCGCTCTCACAGCCTTGGTAACACTGCTCGCTACCTTCTCGGACACCGCGGGCCCGAGTTTGTGTTTATCGTAAATGTCCGCCAATTGAAAATCGAACTCATCGTTCTCTGGCTCTTCTGGAGCTTCGTCCCCAGAGTCAAACAGCAATAAATTGGCCCCAGACTGCGTCTGAGCCGTTTGACCACACTCTTCCTCGTCGAGGAACCCGGAAGCGGAAGCCATAGGCAACTATCGTTGCTCGTCACGCTTTCTCTCGTTATCCGCGATAACGTTAGTCAGCTGACTAATGACACTCAATACTGTGTCTAACTTCCCATCTCCACGTGCCTTTTTATTCACAGACTGCGTCTGTTTAGTGTTCGCACGCTTTTTGTTAACACTTTTCACATTATTATTGTCAGGTTTCGCCGTGACCTTGGCCTTCATGCCACGTGTGTTCAAAGCCGGCGGCTGAGAAGGAGACCGACTAATAATGGGGTCGCTATTCACCACGACCTCATCCCCAACGTGCCTACAAGTACGTCGGAGGTCGACGTAGTCGAGGTCTTCTTCCTCCTCCCCCGAATAACTCAGACACAGCGTCTTCTGAGGAGACGCCCATGTTACTATCGGTCCCTACAGAACAAAAATAAATAAAATGAGCGTCAAAAAAAATAACCCCTGGTATCACCAGTGTCAAGAAAACGACTCTGCGACCGACCAAGTGCAATAAAACAACACTCTTCCTTGTAAGGTAAGATTTACTTACCAAATTTTTCTTCTCTCGAGACACCTGGTCTCTCGTGCAGCTCAAGCAAAAATGTGACGGTTGGACCTCGTGGTCCGGTTTTATACGGCCTAATTTGCATATATTTTATCTCTTTGAAAGGAGTGTGCGCGTGCGCAAACAAGCATGAAATGCAAAATTTATTCCCCGAAAGCCGAAAGGCTGGTCAGAAAAGAACCAAGTTGACCAACAGACAGCCATCTTGAATTTGAGAAGGAAAGTTTGTTATCATTATTTCTCAGAATGTTCAGGAGGGGTCTTTCACATGAAGGTTCCCTATGGTTCCGACATAGAATTAATGAATTGGAAGTTGGTACAATCGTGGGTGCCAAGATCCCTCTGAGATCTCTTGTTACTTTAAACAACTTCTTTTGAATAACCAAGGCCCAGGATGATAATACTGTGCCAGTAACATGCCGGCAAATTTGTTCTTATGAATGACATTGACCTATATTCAAGGTCTCAGGGGTCAAATATGTTTTAAATCTTCTAAATAATCAAATGGCCAAGTAACATGTTGGGATTTAGGACTTCCATGTTTGTTCAAATCAATGGCTTTGACTTATAATCAAGGTCACAGGGATGAAATATATTTTAAATCTTTAAACGACTTCTTCTTATATAATAACGATAAGGCGCAGAATGTTGATTTCTGGGCAGTAGCATGCTTGGATGAAGGGCATCTAAGTTTGTTCAAAGCAATGACCTTGACTTATATTCAAGGTCATAGGGGTCATATGATTAAATTTTTTAAATGACTTCTTCTGAATAACCATATGGCCCAGAATGTTGATATTTTGTCAGTAGCATGCTTTCATCAGGGGCTACAAAGTCTTAAAAATGAATTACTGGTACCTTGACCCGTATTCAAGGTCGCAGGGGTCAAATGTGTTTAAATCTTTCAAAAGGTTCATTTTAATGATTTATAGTCATAAATACTGATATTTTGCATGTATTTTAGTCCACTTTTAAGGTTACAAGTTTGAGATTAATACTAGGTGAGCATGCAGGCCCATGTAGACCGACTTTGCTTATTTCATAGAAGAGTTATTCTATAACATTAATCTAAGAATTTGCCATTTCAAAAATCATGCATCATTTTGATAATATTATACACATATGAGGCGTTAATTTTATGAAATCTTACAGATTGAACACTTCTGATTTTGCTCCATTCATCGGAATATAACCAATTTGTAGCTCTAACGTTGCATATATAAAAACTGTCTCTTCATCAGAAGCTATATGTTATCGCAGCTAAATAAATATTGGCTTTCATTTTTGTTTGCATGGTCATTTTCAGTTTTACAGTTGACATTATGGCAGTGCTTGAAATTTTCCTTCATAGAATGTCTCAATGCCTTTCAGTGATCTGTAACGAACTTGATGATTAATAAATCTTGTTTTAAAGCATAATAAAGGCACATTATTAGCTCACCTGGCCCAAAGGGCCAAGTGAGCTTATGGCATGGTGCGGCGTCCGTCGTCCGTCCGTCGTCCAACCGTCGTCAACTTTTTACTTTAAACAACTTCTTCTCAGTAACCAAAAGGCCTAGGGTAATGATATTTGGCCAGAAGCATGCTTGGATGAAGGGCTACCAAGTTTGTTCAAATAAATGACCTTCATCAATTTTCAAGGTCACAGGGGTCAAATATGTTAAAAATCTTTAAACAACTTCTTCTGAATAACCAAGTGGCTTAGGATGATGATATTTTGCCAGTAACATGCTTGGATAAAGGGCTTCCAAGTTTGTTCAAATGAATGACCTTGCCTTATATTCAAGGTCACAGGGGTCAAATATGTTAAAAACATTTAAACAACTTCTTCTGAATAACCGAGAGGCCTAGGGTGATGATATTTGGGCAGTAATATGCTGGGATGAAGGGCTACCAAGTTTGTTCAAATAAATGACCTTGACTTATATTCAAGGTCACAGAGGGCAAATATGTTTTAAACATTTAAACAACTTCTTCTGAATAACCAAAGGCCTACGGTGCTGAGATGAAGGACTACCAAGTTCAAATGAATGACCTTGACATATATACTTGAAGGTCACAAGGGTCAAATATGTTTAAAACCATTGAATGACTTCTTCTTAATAAGCAAAAGGCCAAGGGTGATGATATTTGGCCATTAACATGCTGGGATGAAGGACTACCAAGTGAATGACCTTCACCCATATTCAAGGTCACAGTGGTCAATATATGTTTAAATCTTAAAATGATTTGTTCTGTATAACCAAAAGGTCCAGGGTAATGATATTTTTCCAGAAGCATGCTGGGTTGGAAGATTATAAACTCTGTTCAACCTAATATTACAATGTCCTTGTTCGACATTCAAGGTCACAGGTATCATATGTTTAAATCTTTTAATAGGTTCTTATGAATGAAACACTGATATTTTGCCTGTAACTGTATTTTAGTCCATTTTAAGATTACAAGTGTGAGATTAATACCAGGTGAGCAATGCAGGCCCATTGGGCCTCTTGTTTAAGATATTTGAACAAAATATTGATATAAGGTAATGATTGAACCATTATTGTGTATTTTCATTGAAGATGACGACACTGAAATGATCACAAGTAAGAAACGGTAAGTTAAGTCTTATAATTATCACTTTTCCAGCATCTAGCATTTAAAGAAGGCTCCACCCTTTTGCAATTAACCAGCAGAATTCGTTGAAACTTTCACATAATGGTTAAACAACTATGAGAGGTAATTTTATGAAAATCTAAGCATTTTGACTACCTGGGGATGTTTTGGGAAAAAAAGTTTTCGTCAATTTTAATATTTTTCATTTTTTTTTGGTGTGTGGGATTGTTCGGAACAATAACAACAACAAAGAAATGAAAAGAAGAATATGCATATCAATTCAGATTTATAATCTGAGAACTTATGAAAAAAATTTCGACTGATCGCAAAAGTTCAGTCAAAAATGCTGGCGTGTAGCAGGGCACCGTTGAATGTTATTTCTTCGGTGTCCGTGACGTGATGCACCAGTGTTTCACACAATAATTTTATAACATACTGATTTTAAAATTAACAACAAAATTCAATAAGTTCGTTTTACTGAACAATCATTTATTTAACATTGGAAACCTCTGGAACCAGTATTACAAAATGTGTTCTTTATGAAAATTATTGCGGGAATGATTGTTTTACTTGCTCCCGTCCGACCGGAAGTTCTTGTGTCAAGTTGTGAGCAGAATTTCGAAAACCTGGACGTAAATGTGCTGTTATAGTCGAATATCTGTTTGAAATTAATGATTTAATGTACATTCATGATTTCAGGCACATATGATTACAAACAAATCATTTTATTTGCGTATTTTATCAACTCAAAATTGTTTCAAAATATTTCCACTTCCGTGATGCATTAATGCATCATTCGTCCCAGACCCGGTGATGCATTAATGCATCATTCGGCCTAGGCCTGGTGATGCATTAATGCATCATCAGGGCTTAAAGGGTTAATTAACCATACAAATATTTCACTTATCACAAAATATTTAAAACATGTGACACAAAGTGTATTTTATTGAAATTGCATGGATAAAAGTGATTATCTACAAGCTAAAAGCAAACAGGACACAAAGTTTCATACAAAAATAGTGGAAAGTTGTATAATTAATTTATTTTTCATTTTACAATTATTATGGTCATGCTGAGAGTTGTCTTCCTTAAAAAAAAGAACTTTTGCAGAAGGATAAAGTTTACACAATGACAGTTATTTCTTTTAAGATATATCAAAAATCGTGAAAGATATAAAAAGTATGACATCAAAAGTGACAATTTATTTTATGGTACCAAATTACTCTCAGTCATGTACACTTTAGACTTCATTCCACAGCCCGCTAAAGCACGGTATATTTAAATGTCAGGTACATAATTGTAACCAGAGGCTATCGCATGGTATGACAATCTCACATGCAAACACTTCAAAAGACTTAATTGTTTTTAAGAACTGAAAGGTATAGAATCTTAATATTTGGCTGGTAGCTTCTTTGGATTCAGCATGACAAAGTTTGAGAATGAAAATAACCTTGACCTTCTTTCAAGGTCACAGGGGCCTAATATGTCAAACACATAAAATGACTTCTTCTGAATAATCGAAAGGCATAGAATCATAATATTTGGCTGGTGGCTTCTTAGGATGCTTAGAGCCGGACAACATAAGTTCACTGAAGTAAAATGAAAATTTCCTTAACTTACTTTCAAGGTCATATGGATCAAAAGTGTTAACTTTGTAAATGACTCCTCTCAATAACTAGGAGCCACAGGGTGATGATATTTGGATTAAGGACTTCCAATGTTTTTTCAACTGAATGACTGTGTTAGGACTTTCAAAGTCACTGTGGTAAAAAGTGTTATAATCTGGTAACAGGTTTAATAACGAAGAGTCATAGGTGAGGATTTTTAGCTCACCTGGTGAGAAGGACCAAGGTGAGCTTATGCCATACCGCAGCGTCCGTCGTCCGTCATCCGTCGTCCGTCAACTTTACACTACTAGTCATGAACCACTGAGCGGATTTTAACAAAATTTGGTGTGAAGCATCCTTGGGGGAAGAAGAACCAATTTTGTATAAATGGTGGGTCTGGCCCCCAGGGGCCTGAGGGGCGGGGTCAAATAGGGAAAATATAGCAAATTATTCTTTAAAATCCTTCTTCTTCTGTAGAAATTAAAGGATTTGTTCCATATTTGGGCAGAAGCATCCTTGGGGGAATGGGAACAAAGTTTGTATAAATAGTGGGTCTGGCCCCCCTGGGGGCTTAGGGTCGGGGCCCAATAGGGGAAATATAGCAAATCATTCTTTAAAATCCTTCTTCTTCTGTAGGAATGAAGGGATTTGGTCCATATTTGGTCAGAAGCATCATTGGGGGAAGGGGAACAAAGTTTGTATAAATGGTGGGTCTGGCCCCGCTGGGGGCTGAGGGTCGGGGCCCAATAGGGGAAATATAGCAAATTCTTTAAAATCCTTCTTCTTCTGTAGAAATGGAAAGATTTGTTCCATATTTGGTCTGAAGCATCCTTGGGTGAAAGGGAACCAATTTTGTATAAACCGTGAATCTGGCCCCCCAGGTGCCTGAGGAGCGGGGCACAATAGGGGAAATATAGCAAATTATTCATTAAAATCCTTCTTCTTCTGTAGGAATTAAAGGATTTGATCCATATTTAGTGTGAAGCATCCTTGGGTAGTTCGGAAGCAATTTTGTATAAACCATGGGTCTGGCTCACCAGGGGCCTGAGGGGCGGGGCCCGATAGGGGAAACATAGCAAATAATTCTTTAAAATCCTTCTTCTTCTGTAGGAATAAAAGGATTTGGTCCATATTTGGTCTGAAGCATCCTTTGGTGAAAGGAAACCAATTTTGTATAAATGGTGGGTCTGGCCCCCTGGGGGCTTAGGGGCGGGGCCCAATAGGAGAAATATAGCAAATTCTTTAAAATCCTTCTTCTTCTGTAGGAATGAAAGGATTTTTTCCATATTTGGTCTGAAGCATATTTTGGTGAAGGGGAACCAATTTTGTATACACTGTGGATCTGGCCCCCCAGGTGCCTGAGCCGTGGGGCCCAATAGGGGAAACAAAGCAAATTATTCTTTAAAATCCTTCTTCTTCTGTAGGAATGAAAGGATTTGGTCCATATTTGGTGTGGAGCATCATTGGGTAGTGGGGAACTAATTTTGTATAAAAGGTGGGTGTGGACCCCCTGGGACATGAGGGGTGGGGCCCAATAGGGGAAATAGACGTAAATCTTCAAAATCCTTCTTCTTCAGTAGGAATGGCAGGATTTTGTCCATATTTGGTCTGAAGCATTCTTGGGTGAAGGGGAACCAATTTTGTATAAACGGTGTGTCTGACCCTGCTGTATGCATAGAGGTGGGGCCCAATAGGTAAAATAGGGGTAAAACCTTTAAAATCCTTCTTCTACCAAAGGGATTGAGGGATTTTATCCTAATTTAGTCTGGAGCATCCTTGGGCCAAGGGGACTCAATTTTGTATTAGCAGTAGGTGTGGTCTTCGAAGGGGGGCAGAAGGGCGGGGCCCAATAGGAAAAATAGAGGTAAAACCTTTAAAATCCTTCTCCGACCATCGGGATTCAGGGATTTTATCCTTATTTAGTGTGGAGCATCCTTGGGTGACAGTGACTCAACTTTGTATAATTGGTGGATATGACCCCCGTAGGGGCATAGGGGTGGGGCTCTGTTTGAAGTTAGTTCTCTATATCTCAAGTACTGGATGGATCTTTCTGAAATTTCATATGTACTAACAGCACCTACCATGGAGTGCTATATCTTTACTTCATACCAATTACTTTAATTATATTCAGGTGAGCGATACAGGCCATCTGGGCCTCTTGTTATCCTATAGCTTTATGAAAATTTAGTTTGAAATGGAGTGTCCTTGGCTCAATATAATATAATGTTATATAAACAATACTTCCACTCCTATGGGGACAGAGGGATGGGACCAAATAATGGAAGGATGTTGCTATCAGACAGAACGTATATTTTGAAATATTTGTAGTACAGTATAATATTTAATGAGAATATTTTGCTATGACTTCTTAAAAATCTAGGTGAGCGATACAAGCCCTCTGGGCCTCTTGTTTCAAATCAGAATTTGAGAAAACATACAGTTCATACAAACATTACTGTACATTCAACCATAAAAATTGATACATAAAGTATGCATCTTAATTCAGGACAGAAATTGAAGTTTGACATTTCGGGCCAAAAAAACCCATATTTTTTTTTGTGAATTTCGAGAAACAGACATAATATCTTATTTGAGTGTCAGATCAAATTAGAAATTAAAACACATCCGTATTGAACAATTTATTATATAACACAGAATTTTGCTGTTTTAAGTGACAATTTTCAAGCGGCAGCAGCATAGCAAACATATTTTACCTACTTTTTTCATCATGATTTCTAATTTTCTGTGTTTTGCTCTGATTCTCAAATAAATTACTTTGGACGGTCAATGTGGGGGTTGGCATGAAAAATCATTCCCTGGAATTCTTGTATTTCAGATCAGCAGTGGATGACAGTACAGGTAAATATAGATTCCCAAGAATATCAACACTTTTTTATCTTCCAAGTATTGTAGCTAGAACAATATCAGATAGTTCTTAAAGCCCATTATTGTGTGTCACAAAACTACATACTGTTTTTAGCTAAGGCGTTAGCCGCCAGCTATTGTTATTACTTCAGTTAATGAGCTCAAGATATTCAAAAATGTCGTTTTCACACAGACGCCTCTAGCGGTACCCACTGGTACTAAATTGAATCATCCTAATTTACCCGACCTACTGTCTTTATTATGCGTAACTTTGGACTCAAATGCACTTGAATGGCTTGTAAATATCATTCCTTTCCTTTGTAGAACATATGATCTTATCAAAACGTCGTATTCTTATTGAAAATACACCCTGTTTATCTCAATCGGGAACTGCTACTTGACTGTAGGTCATGCATGCTACACGCAACTTCCGGTAAAAATGCTTCAGTTAATGAGCTCAGATATTCATAAACGGGACATAATGTCACCTACCAGTAATACTAAACAAACTGCAAATAAAATCCATTACCGCAGACTCAAGTTCACTCACAAGTCATTGGATATAATCTTATTCTTAGTTAGAACTAAGTATCCTTCTAAAACTTTGTATTTACTCTTGGAACTGTCGCTGGATTAACCCTTTACACGGAAATATTGTCCTGTGATTGGCTAAAATTGGTGACTCTTGCATTTACGTCCCTGTTTACATTTATATATTGCTTGGTCAGAGCTATGAAGCAGTCCTGTTCCAACTAACTGAGGAAAATCAAAAATGCTAATCAGTAATAATATATATGATTCACGCTTCATATGATTATAATGTTATCAAAATATTGCATATTCGTTCATCGTTGAAATAAAACCAATCCTTACTAAAAACTCTAAAAACAGAAACGACGGCCATGTTAGATCACGCGTGATGTTATCGCAATTATCCGTTTCCTTATATGGCCTTCACGGCCAAATGTAGTATTACTACTGATACCGTCATGTATACTACAATTTCCATATTTGGTCATGACACCCATTTTTAGACGTCTGACCTATATCGGAAGACAGACGAAGTTTCCAACA